ATTAATTAATTAAAAATTGAAACAAAGAAATTAACTTCAAATTTCTCAAAACTAGATGGTGAGCAGACAGGATTTAGATCTAACGTTATAATTCGGAGGTAGTGAAATGTAGCTGCATTCAAATTCAATAGTCGTTGGCTATTTTAGTACAGCATTTCGCTCTATTTTAGTGGCAATACGTCCTGTTCTGAGACACTTAATGATCTAATCCCACTACTGGGCCATCTAGAAAATACATTAGAATATGTGCATACAATAATGTTATTTTATCTATATTATTATATTACACGGATCTATTAATATTATAGATCTATTTATAGTCGAAGCTGCTCTAATGGCCACTTGTTCAAGACATTTGCCAAAACAAACGGCTACTTCCCACTTCCCTCTTTACGGTCTTAAGAATTTACAAGGACACCGTCCAAGACATCCATCTCTCTAAGACGACCTCTTTTCTCCAAGACAGTGGATGGCCGTCCTCGGCAATGGACAGAGAGAGAGAGAGAGAGAGAGAGAGAGAGAGAGTGAGAGAGATAGTTTTAGTTTTAGTAGAGGTTTTACAGCGCTCGCAACTGCATTTATAAGGTCACATGAGCGCCAAGGGATGGATGTCAACAGAGAAGTCCTTACAATGTAAGTTACATGGAATCAGACTTACTCTGCTCACCTCTCCAGTTTCAACAGCGCAAAGTCTGCTTCGACTATCAAGGCACCCCGGAAATAGCGGGTCACAAGAGTGTGACAAACGTACAAAAGAAGTAGAGAAATAATTGACGATAGCAAGGATTAGGAAAGAAAAAGCAGCAGTTCCCTGTTGAAGTTCAGGAACAGTAATGAGCGTGACATTGCTGAATCAGCCTATTTACAATTTCAATTCTACTGTGCATAAGGACATATTAATGTCCCCCCTTTGGGAAGGGCCTGAAGACATTTCAGTCAGTAGCACCGCCGCCGGGGGTGGGTAAACAGAGATATAGATAGATAGAGAGAGAGAGAGAGAGAGAGAGAGAGAGAGAGAGAGAGAGAACGAGAGAGAGAGAGGGGGGGATTAAAAGATGAGTACAAAAAGGCAAACAGAAAGAAAGAAAGATCGTAATCGGGAAACAGAAAAAAAAGAAAACGGAACAAATATCATGAACATGACGCACACAAGACGACGCACACACGAGACCAAGATCAAAAGCGACCGACGCAGTTCACCAGGCCAGAAGCAAACACATTCCACTTTCAACAAGCCGGGTTGGCAGGGGTTCAAGTTCCAATCGACATGGCCAACCTACCTGGGGGTCAATACCATCTGCCACCTCAATCCCTTGAAGACAACCCCCGAATTGATTGCGATCATTTCCCGAGACGTCAAGCATTGATTACTCCAAACGACAGTACTTTAGTTTTACCCGCATGATCGTATTGTTCAGATGTATGCTTGATTATTACTGCTGACATTGCAGTCTTTCTGTGGCAGGGTTGCG